TTTTATTGATGAATTAGTGGAATGTGGGTCTGCTTGTAGAGGTACGATAAATACTATTTTGAACCTTGTAATATAAATACAAACCATATACATTGATAGGTTTATTTACTATAATTTCTATATTATTTTATTTAATCGTTTTTTAGTATCACAACAAGAAATGACAAACGAATATCGACAAATGGGAACGAAGTTAAATGATTTAGCAATTGAATTACAAAAGAACTTTGGAGATGATATTGAATTAGAAGAAAATGACAAATTCCCTGGAGTAATGAAAGAATTTGTTGTAAAGGCAAAAGAAAAGTTTGAAAATTTACAGATGGAATACACTGAGATGGAAGTTGCATATAAGGATGTTGTAGCATACTTCGGAGAAGATCCTAAAAATACTAAACCTGATGAATTTTTCGGTATATTTAAGACTTTTATCACTAGCTTTGAGGTATGTTTTGTATTATTATTGTCCAGAACAATGTGGCTAATGATTTAATGGAAAGATAATGTTATCAAAATTTATCAATTAATAATCTAATGCTCTGGACGTTTACAAGCCCATTTTTTTAGTTGTTGATCATATATAGAAAGTTTGAAAATTATATCAATATTTATTTGTATTTTGTTTTATTCATTGCAGCGGGCAAGAACCGATAATAAAGCAATAAAAGAACGCGAATTAGCTGCTAAAAAACGAAAAGAGGTAATTTTATATTCTCGAATAGTTTATTATATAAACATTTAATTTATTTAATATTTGTTTTTAAACACAAAGGAAATGGAACAGCGAAAGAAATTGGCTAATAATAAGCATAGTTCAGGAGTGCAAGGAGTGCAAATGACAGGTCAATCAAGTCCAACAGATGATAAGCATTTAATGGACAACTTACTGGAAACGTTACGCGATGGCAGGGATTTAGAAACTCGATCAAAGAGGAGAGGAAAAGGAGGCAAAGAAGGGGGAGATCTAAGAGTTTCTAGGAGCATGAGCATCGCAATTAGAGCTGAAGATATACTAAAAAGATTGAAAGAGGATTCTGCTCTACCGCCGTTGCCAGAAATGCCAAAAGAAATTATTGCAGAATAATAAACTATACTAATTTTAATCTAACGGTATACATATTTAAATAACTACAGATCATTTGAAGAAAAAAAAAAACTTTGTGTAAGAAAAATACTCACTGCTTTCATATAATTGCACAAGTGTGCTAACGCTGGTCATATCGTAATATTTTTGGAAATTAATGATTGATAATTATTTATTCATAATTTGGGTATTGATATTTTTTTATTCGTATATGGTGTTGATTTTGTACAAAATTATCATAGCTTACAATTATTATATTTCATACAAATGTTATTATATTTTTATTGATTATTTTAATTATTGATTTGTTTTGGTTTGTATATAGATAACCTTTCATTTTATTGTTATGATGTATACATTTAGTGTACTAATATATACACAGAAATATACAAAATTATGCGTACATATACTGTGTGATATATGAAAGAATATACAAATAAATTTAAATTAGGCGGTATAAAATGTTTTATATTATCGTATCTGAGCCTTATTTCGAAAACTTACAATGCTGTGAATTGAAATTGTAATTATAAGTATGTTCCAGTTTACAAGTGCGGTCGAACAAATTGGCTAGATTGCCCAACACTGCTTGCATTACTACGAGACACACGTTATTTCAGTACTATATTATAATAGTAAATTGCAGCTTTAAGTTCTGAGCCTATTTCATTTTCACCAATTTTAAAACCTTTAGTAAAGACCTTGGGTCTAGTGCACGGCTGAGGAGGGCCCCTGAATACGGAGATATCACATTAATCGAACCCTGTTGTACGGATTGAATTTTTAGTACTATTGAGCTTAAGTGTAACCTTGTACGGATCCAGGTTTTTGTACTAATAAACATATGTGATATCTTCCTATTATCACCGCGGAGGTTCCAATGAGTGTATTCAGGGGCCTTGGCTGAGGTTATGTCGTCAATAAAAAAAATTTAAAGTGCATACACTATGTATTTATAATAGACAATCTAGTTATTTGAAAAAACCACATTTGATTAATAAGATTTCGTGATACTTTTTTATTATGTTAAATTATATAAAATTTAAAGAATTTAACTAATTTTAACCCTGGTTAAAATTTAACCACTCTTTATTTTTATAGAATTTTTTTATATAAATAAATATTCTTTAAAGATTAAGATTAGAATATTAGCTATATTAAGTTGACATATAGCTTATTTATATGCAAAATTAGGTGCTGAAAACTTTTACTTAATAGCTTATAACTAGTTCTTATAATAAAATTTTGCAATATTGTTAATTTTTGAATTTTTTTTTAAATTTTTTTCTAAATTTTCTTTATTTTGTTACACTAGATCTTGTGACATGATTGGTAAATTGTAGGGGTGGTTAAATCACCAGGGGGGCAAGTTAGCAACATTCTTTTTTTAATTATAACAGTTTGCAAAACATATATAAAAACAAAAATTAATACAAAAATAGATTTTAAAATAAAACAAGTTATATAATTTTAAATTTTAAAATTGTACACTAATTATATTTAAAAGATACATTTAATTATTACAGTTTACAAATTATAAAATAGATTATTATTTGTATGTATACACACCAAAGCTTTTAAACATCGGTGATATCAAAGCTTAATTTGAACAGAATTAGGTTGAGCCAAATCTAAATAAACAAGATTAATATTAATTTTAAATAAATCAAAAAACATAATTTTTATATATTAGTTAATAATAAAGATAAATAAATATCTTTAATTTTGCTAGTGTACATTTCATCAGAATGCTTTGGCATTAGCAACGATTTAGTAACTTTATCAGCATCTAAGAATTGCTTTTTAATTTCATTATCATCTGAACTAGTTATCTTATCCGGCCAATTTTCTATTGTATTATAAACTTTCCAAGCGTTAGGTCGTTTTTGTGGATCAGAATTCATGCATTTCTCAGCCAATTCGATATAGCAGTTAGGAGTTTTAGGTGCAAACTCTGGTCGCAATCCTTTGCAAAATATCCTTCGCAAGTTTGGTATTAAATTCACGTCCATCAAAAGGTCTTTGCCCATTTGTTATTTCTACCATAATAACACCAAACCCATAAATATCTGCTGCCTTTGTAAACTGCTGCTCTCCTGATAAAGCTTCAGGAGCAACATAGGGCATAGCTCCATAAATTTCGCCAGTTGAAACATTCTCATATACTTTTCTAGACAATCCCAGACCTGCGATATAGGATTGTGCATTTTCATTAGTGCGTTGGTCTTGCAAAATGTTACTACTATGAAAATCTGCATCGATGTACCCTGCATCATCATGAATTCTATCCAACTCTCTCGCAGTATCTTTAAGTATGTAATTTAGTCTGCCATGTAAGACTAATAAAATTTTTTCTTAAATACTTATGAAGACTTCCATTGCTAGCATACTGAAAGACCATCAAGCATTCTTTTGTTTCTGTGTTTTGGGTTATTCCATATATTGCGAGCTTACTCCAATTTAATTTACATGTCATAAAACTTTTAATCAATGAATTAGCTCAATAAACTATTAGATAAATTATCTAAGCAATAAATTATCTTACTTCTTTTAAAAAGTCATTGTATTCCTCAGAACTGGCCAACATATTGAGTGCAACGACACTGGATGATTCACGCGCTCTTTTGTATCACCATCATCAATTTCTTCAACTTTTCGTATGCCATCCAGGTTGCTGAATATACAGAACCAAATCCTCATTCACCAATTTTTTTAACATCAGATAATCCATTAAATGGAATCCATTCAATCGCTTCTTCATATTCCCAGGCTCTAAGTTGGAATGTCTTCATGCAATCATCAATACCTTTATTTCCACTTGTCCACTGTGTTGTTATGTCAGGGTCGCATGATAGACACCATGCTGGATAATTGTTATCTTCATTACAATGTGCACATTTTCCATTACAAGAACCTCTATATAATAAATATTTAATGTTTTATTTCGCAACTGCAATTTTAAACTTTATATTGAATTAAATAAATAATTTTATACTCACAAACTAAATTAATGAGAATGAAATGTATTTAAACGTAATTATAAATAAGTATTTATGGAAACATCACAAAATTTTTTTATATTATTTTACAATACTTTTTTGGAAGGCTCGCTTGACTTATCTTTTATATGAATATTGAAAATG